GCAGGGTTTGAGAGGTTGCTCGTGCTGTGAACACATCTCTACTGCCTGTCTCGTCCTGGAAGTGCCGTCTCGCCGCTTCTTTGCTCTACAATCACGCCGTTATTTCGCTTTGTTTCGTGGTGCAGCTCAAAACCTGCCCAAACAACTGTAAGCTCGCAACATGGTATGAACAAATTGCACCACTCATGCTGGTTAACTAAAACCGGGATAGTCGAGTAAGCGAGTTCACTCCCTGGGCCATGGCAAGATCTGTTCAGCGCGGGCTATTCCAACCTCCAAGTGCATAGTCACCGATCGATCCATGCGATGGTGGTTGACCTACAAAGAGCCAAGGTCTACGAGTACTACTATTGGATGCTGTCTACATGCAGTCAACAAAATCAAAGTACCTCAGTATGCCCCAGAATAGGGCATGTGCACCTATAGCATGACACAACAGGGGTTCTGGCGGCACCTGTCAAACAAGCAGTAGCGACTAGTGCCAGCTACCTATTGGAGGCTAGCCGCTACAGTCCGTCACTGGAGATAATTATTATGTTCACTGTTTAGACTGAGCACAATCAATGATGCCCAATCAATCTGCACAATGTGTGTTCTGTTCCACCTAATTATAACGTCCCATCGCATCAACCCTACTACACGCACATGTCGTCACTCTAGCAGGACTTGTGTTATTATTGTTAATTTTGATTCGCACGATAAATAGAGCACAATAAACGTTAACTTGACCGAAGGATAAAGGCGACTGCAGATAGAGGATCACATCGAGGTACAGGTACCGGCATCAATACAGTATCAGAGAGAAACAAACAAAAATGAGAGGTACGCAGAAAAAACTCTCGTAAGCCCAAGGGGAAGTGGTTGATGAGGGATGAATGCACTCTCCACGCTCATCTACACTGTTCGTGGAAATGCACACATACATACAATAATATACAACATAGCAATAGCATGCACAGAACCGAACAATTTCATGTTCACACATGCAAGCACAGACCTGAACATTAGTACCAAAAGCCGATACAGACAATATCCCCATACACACAGACGCACACACACACACACACACACACACACACACACACACACACACACACACACACACACACACACACACACAATGTCCCATGTATGCGCCCGTGGCGAGAAAAGCACGCAAATCTACAAATGCACTGGATGTGAACCCACAGATTTTCTCTTATAGCAACGATAGCGGATCTGATTCTGAATGAAACACACACACACACAATACAATCATTGAATGCTCATCCGCAGATGATGGCAGGTCCTGAAAGAACAGGCAGTGTTCCAGTAATGGGGAACAGAGCTTCGAGTGGCGAGTGAGGTATACACACACACGTGCGTGCGCGGGCACACACTAAAGTATTCAGAAATATAATCGACATTGTAGTATTCATTGGTTGGGGAATGGAAAGGAAAATACAACATTGCTGTAGGTTATTGTTGTAAGGACACTGGGAGCACAACAGAATGGTAAGCAACTTGCTTTGAAGCAAAGAAAGTTATTATTCCACGAATCTCAGAAGGAAGGAGCGTTCCAGAATGCTGCACTGGCAACAGGCGGCCTGCATGTGCGCGGCCCATGCAGTCGGTCCAGCTGCCGGCCTTGCAGTGCTGAAAAGAATGTGCAGTACAGCATGTCACATAGTATCGCAGCCTGGACAAATAGGCGCTGGGAAGTCCTAGTTATGTGCTCACCTACACCACGATGCACCAATCCTCTGAGCTACTTTGGCAACAACTTTGTCCACTTGAGACTCCCATGGGCTGAGCCAGTTGTTGAGGGCTGCACCAAGGTGGACGGCAATGACCGCTGATGGCAAGGCAGTCCATGACACACAGTCACTAGGGCATCGTCAACATGGCGCTGAGGCTGGATCGATAAAATCAACCTTTAGGCTGTCGCGGGGTTGACAACGAGGCCGCTGTCTCGAAGCTAGTCAGTCAGCCTGGTCACCGCCATTGACGAACCAGTCGCCACCGCCAGCAGTGGCGGTAGGTTGTGACAAGTGTGGTGCAATATTGTCAGCAAATTCAGTACTTAGGATAAGATGAGTGACAAAGGGAACGTTGTGTTTGATAATGTTGAAGTGAACAGGGATGATCACAAACCCTGCGCGTACTCCACCGTGAGTTACAAGAAAATTCCGGACTGGACGACGAGCAAACGCCAACCTGCTACATCCAACCAGGTAGATACTATTACGATAGCTGCCAAACCAGGTCAATGCCGACCTACTGCATAATGTCAATGTCAAACAGATCCTGCAGGAGAAGACTGGGGTGTTGGCGTCCAGTCACTGAGTGTACAGACACCAGTCACATTTCCTGTGTCTTTTGCAGCATACAGGCTGAGACTCATCACTGTAGACTACCGCATGAGTTATATTTGTACAATACATGGCAGTCGTACACTGTGTGCCTCGCAGGACTGCGAGGTGCTGCAGAAGACCAGGTTCGACCTTTCTGGACCGCCATTCACCGACGGTGGGCTACACGATGCTGGAGGAACTAGATTCCAGTGAAAACCCAAGATTCCTTTTCTCCTGGACGCTCCGACGTGTTGTGATATCTGCCAGGTGCGCAGTAACTAGTATTTTCATCGCTACAGCGAGGACGACGCCGATCGGCAAACTCTCGCTCACAGCCATCACCAGCCTCTCAACACCATCACTTGGCATCCCCCAGAGGTACAGGAGAAAGCCAAAACAGCTCACAACAAACAAAAGCTAAGGACGATGGAAAGAGAGCATGTCAAAAAGAAGACGAACAGTATGAAGTTCAAATGGTTTTGAACACTCGTAGACCCGGGTGCTCGAATCAGAAACGATTTGACAGGTGTGAAATTTCCCATCTGTAAATCTCAACAATGTCAGAATATACTTTTGGAGAGGCGATGGAACAGGGAAGAGAGTCTGGCTTGACCCACCCAGCAGGAATTCAGAACCTGGGTGCGCTACAACACAAGCTACAGTACGCAGTAAAATGGTCGTATTTCCTTCGGATTTTTTATTTGAAAATTGGGTGCTCGAATCAGAAACAGCAAACTCGTCAGATCGTCTCCGATTCAAGCACACAGGTCTACCATCGTCTACGCTTGGTGTGGCAGTTGAGGGCAGGGAGTAGTAACTTACTACTTCGTTTTTGAGAGCAAGATGGTCAGTGGAGCCGCAGATTCAGCAGGTCTTTGGCAGCACCGTACAGGAGACCCACATCCTCGAATCAAGGACCCAGCAAAAAGTGGGTCGCGAGTATTTCAAAAACCGTGTACCGGGCAGCGCTGAAATTTGGCATACTGTTAGCGGGCCGTATGTTGATGGTATTTGTGAAAACTAAACGAAATCGGAACAAGTTTAGGTACAACTTCAGGCTGTTTCTGTTTTGGTACCCTGTATCTCATTCGAGCACCCGGGTCTACCACCAACTATACCACTTTCAATAAATCGTGACGCCATTTTGTTTTAACATGAATATCGCGGGTTGTACAATACCGTACTCGATGACATTATGCGTACGATATCGCCACTTGGTCATATTCACTCTGTGGTTCAATTTTTGAATATTTTCGAAATCAGTGTGTGAAGGAGTAGACTGTTTGATGGTGTCTGTTGGAACGAGTGAGGAGTGAAGGGTTGTTGTTATTGTAACGAATACGCAGAAGACATGCTGTTGTTCCTGACGTGGAGCAGGCGCTGTGGATGTCTTCCTCTCGTCGTGGATATTTTCGTTCGAGTAGAAATCTGTAAAAAAATTCAAATTTGTCGAGGCATGAACTGCATGGAGTAGCAATGTTGCTGAGGAAGGAGAGACTTGTTCTGTACATGTAAGTTGTCTTGTGGAGAGGTTGATTTCGTCTGGTTGTACATTATGTCCTTGGCCTTCGTTGTGTTTTCGTTTTTGTAAAAATTAATTGGAACGAATTTTCTCAATAATGATTATCTGTTGTTCCTGTGATGTGTTGTTGAGTTACTCAGGATGGGAAAACAGCGTTGGATGTAGCCAGGGAAGAGAAGCATGAGGGATGTGTGCAGTTGCTGGTGGATCACGACAGTGCGAAGGTATGTTGAATAGACTTGACTGTGAGTGACTGAATTTAGATGTACTGTGTGTATACAGTAAACATTACAGCGTGTCGTACATTTGATTGGTTGAACTATGCAGTGACTAGGTGTCACGTGAGTCACGTGAGGTGCACCTACCACCACCATGTCCTACATTTGTACAGCTGTCTATGAGATCAAGATTACGTAAACACGAGAGTGTGTAACTCCGCTTGGTCTGGCCATGGCGGAATGTTTCGTTTTGTTGACTTTTCTGGAGATGATGAGTCATACCGTACGAGGCATGTACTACGAGTCTGTGGGCGCGTGTGCTTGTACAGTTTTTATTAGGGGTCGTCCAAAAGAGGTTGCACGGGCCATTGGTGTGTGAGCGCCATTGATTGCACTGCGAAAGAAACGATTGACTCTGTACGAGCTCTAGACTTTTGTACAGATTCCAGGACGCGCTCGATGCGTCTTGAGAAAGGCGTGCAGTGATGTGCTGAACGCAGCGCTGCCCAAGTGGGACAAAAACAAAGCTGGATGTCGTCAACCGCCTCTTTTCCCAACGTTGTACAACGATGTTTTGAGGATGATCCCCTCCAGATTTGAATCGCGAATTGGTTGACTTGAAGATTTTTTCTGCGAAGTCTCAGCAACATCCATGGACCAAAGAAGCCAAGCTCTGGCTAGCAGAGCCTGGATGGATTGGGGGGAGGGGATGAATGTAGCAATCGCCTAAACTATATCCTATTCTGTGCACCAAGCGCTAAATTTGGTGCCGGCCGGCTTTTGTAGGGTATCACTGCATTTGATCAACCAGACGCCAAGTGCATGTGATAATTGGGACCATTTGCAAGCCGTGAAACGGCAAGACGAATTAGGAAACTTTGTTAGAATCCCATCCTGACCACGCGAAGCACATGGTGTTTGATGAGTTCGGAGGGGTCTACTCGTCATGACCGCAACGAGTGGTTTTTTTTTTAATCCAGTGCGTGCGATTTCAACAAGGATACGGAGAAAGCGCAGTAAATTGCGCCTCTTTGTGTGACTTTTCTCAAATTTCCAAATGTTTTATGCACTCCTGTTGGAATAAAGTATGATGGTGAATATACTGTGTACGACGACAAGGCACATTCTCACTAGACAAGTGACGTTTGCTAATACTTGGTCCGCCAAGTTACAATTGGCGCTTATCTTCGCACTTGATTTTTCGGTGTTCTGCCTGCGTCATACCGCATGGAACCACCGATTCACCATCCGAACATAACCATAGACCATTGCATCCGACAATATGGCAGCACAAACCACCACAGAAGTTGTAATCAGTTCGTTTGAATCTTTTTGACTGGAGCTGCCACCGACGAATACTTCCGTCACCGCAATAAAAGGCTGCAACTTCCGCTCCAGTCCGTAAAACAGGTCAGGATGTTCACAATTCAGAGCAATGGCGAATACAGTTTCTGCCTACTTCCAGCTGTCTGGTGGAAAGGATGGTTTTCCGCGGGGAGGCATAGAAAAGCTGAAAAAGCGCGTCGCTAGCTTGAATTTGAATACTCGCACTGTACAGCGCCTAGTGAAGCGTTCTCACCAGCAAATCACCGACGAAGAAACTACAGATCATATCGACATCTCCAGAATGCGAGACCAATCCGGCAGACACACTCTGAAGCTCACAGAGAACTTGGCAAAGGAGCTGATCAAAATAAACACCAACTCCTGAGGGAAACTCTCGTGCAAACAACTTGCAGGAATCTCGCAGAAAAGAGCTACGCCTGCTCCAGAGTCAGTGCAACACTGGTGCAAGACGTTAGGTGCAGTACGCACATGTGCTACATCAAGCAGAAGCTATCACTGCACTACAAGCACCAGCGGCTTGCGTGGGTGGTGATCAGCAAGTACGACAAGCACAAGAGGCGATTTGAAAACTGGCAGTGATGTGGTGTTGCCTTTTTGCCTCAAACAAAGGCATTTATTGCGACGAACGGGGATAACACATACAGCCACCACACGGGTACTCTCACTCAGCTTCTGAGCGGCAAGATGACAGGTACGACAGGTGACTGCCTTTGAGCGTGACTCGAGACGAGGAGAAGTGGAACAAGCTATGAAACGAGCAGCATCTGTCTGGATTGAATGTTTTGAGCTCTTCCTCCAGCGACGATAGTGGCGAGGAGGATGTGTAACTTGCTAGGATTTTCGGCTGAGTTGCTTTCTGACGTGTAAAGTATCATATACATAACGTTTTCTGATCGTGACATGCTTCGAATATTTGTAGTTTCGTTTTGAGACAAGAGTGAAGATAAGTGGCAATTTTAACTTGGCGGACAAAGTACTTCTTCTTGAAGTAGGCCATTCACATGATGTGCAAACTCAAATCTATCGTACCGTTTCCAAGGATATTTGCTCGCGTACGATAAACTTAGACACACGCTTGCAACTGATTTTTGAATTTGGCCGGGGCTCTTGTGCTCACGATTATACTTTGCACACGAGCAAAAGTGCCAATGTTGAAAGTGCGCGCTGCAAATGTAGTGTGTGGGATATTTTTCAAATGGGAATTCAATTTTTTTAAACCCAGGCCCACGGGTACACACCCAGGTCTGCGGGCATACCTCTGCATACGCACACACACACACACACATTCATGTGCACAAACATAATTGCAGACACTCCCACGCCTCGTCTGTGCGTACAACGACGTACTCACACACTCACTCACAAGCAATCAACACATAGGTTTGGGGGTTGCCATGACTTCAATTTGATTAAAGATAATAGTATGTGATGATAGACCAGTTGCAAGAAAACAAACGATAATAGTTGAGTCACATCATCACATTCGATCGTGAGTGATTCACACTGCCCACCGGGGGCAAACGCACGAACGGCCCACCGAGGGCTAGCCTGCAGCTGCCCACCGTGGACCGGTGACACGAGCGGCTAGCGAGGCCAACAGCCAGCCCACTGAGGGCTGAGTAATCCTGCCCGCCGTGGGCCGTTAGCATACTGTCCACCAAGTGCGCACAAATGGCCGACGTGGCCAGCAACCTGCCCGCTGCTGGCGCTAGAATGGCCGCCGAGGCCAACAGCTTAACCATCGAGAGATAAAGCATACGGCCCAAGCGAGGGCGCGAAGAAGCGTATAGCCCAAGCGAGGGCGCCTGATTATAGCCCGACCGAGGGCGCATGATTATAGCCCGACCGAGGGCGCATGATCATAGCCCGACCGAGGGCGCATGATTATAGCCCAACCGAGGGCGCATGATTATAGCCCGGCTGAGGGCGCATGATTAAAGCCCGACCGAGGGCGCGTGATAATAGCCCGACCGATGGCGCATGATTGTAGCCCGACCGAGGGCGCATGATTTTAGCCCGACCGAGGGCGCATGATTATAGCCTGACCGAGGGCGCATGATTATAACTCGACCGAGGGCGAAAGCATGCTGCCCACCATGGGCCGATTACCGTAGAGTCCCGCGGATAAGCCCACCCGCGTATAAGCCCATGACCGCGCATAAGCCCAGGGTTTGTTCGAACATCACACACCTTCATCGTACAAGCCCATGGGCCTTGTAGGTCATACCGGGAGTCCATATATTATGGACTATTGGCCATACCATGTACATGTACATGTACGTAGTACATGCACATTATAGTTTTTTTCGTACATTTCAGCACAATCATCGGTTGTTTTTGTTTGCACAGTGGTTTTCAGCAATGTACTTCACATTTCCTTGATACTTTTCAATAGCACAACTCGGTGTCGGCGTATAAGCCCAGCCCGCGTATAAGCCCATGTTCTCGTATAAGCCCACCGAAATGCCCATGGGCTTATCCGCGGGATTCTACGGTATATACTGCCCACCAAGGGCTAAATCATACTGCCTATTGAGCAAACGAACAGCCACCGAGGCCGACAACCTGCCCGTCAAGGGAAAAGCATACTGCCCGCTAGGGCCTAAATTATACTGCCCAGCGAGGGCAAACGAACGATCACCGAGAGAGAGAGAGAGAGAGAGAGAGAGAGAGAGAGAGAGAGAGAGAGAGAGAGAGAGAGAGAGAGAGAGAGAGAGAGAGAGAGAGAGAGAGAGAGAGAGCATGTTTGACACATGTGTGTGATTTGTGCCTCTGTTTTTTTCTGACTCTCTATGAAGGAGGCCAAACAGCTGCAGGCAAGTAAGTGACAAATCAATTCTCAAACTTCTTTTTCGCCAAAAAGTTACGAGACATGACCAGTGATGCACACGAATAGTCGAATAGTAATAAAGTTCGTTCGAAGAGCTGTACAATCATGTTCTATGTGTGGCATGCATGCTAGTTTTGTACGAGTACATGTGGACCCTGCGCTAGCGGCAGTAGAGCTAGGGCCGCTGCTACAGATTACAGTACAGCGGTTACCGTACGTGTACTTGACGAATCCGGGATGTGTGAGCGCGCGCCAAACAGTTAGTAGTAACAATAGAGTGCCGGCACTGTAGTACAGTTGCGAAGGGCACGTGTAATTGTACGAGTACAGTACACACACTGTACTGTTGCGAAGTGGGAGCCCATGGTGCCTTCTTCTTTACTACTTTAGTTCGGTCCAACTCACCCCTCTCTTTCACTTTGAGGAACGTTCTCGACATCCAGTTCGTTTTTCGTTATGGCTTCTGGCACAGCTGGTCGTAGCAGCTCCGTTTAGGAGCACTTCGAGAAAGTTGATGGAGGCGCAAAAGTTCAATGCAAACTCAAGTTCAATGGCTTGACTACGAGCTCAATGCTGGAACATCTTATCCGACGGCGTGTTACTTGCTCGACGTCTGTAGCTGCCACGGATGCGAAGGTATCCCAGGCAAAAAGCACAGACGCAATGCAGAAGTTTCTGGGCCGTCAAGAAATTTCAACGAACACTAGATTATCCGTTCGTTCGAAGATTTGGTATTCGATGAGCATTCGTTCTTGAAAAATTGGTTAGTGTGCATCACTGATTGGAATACTATTTAGCATCCAATCCCTCACATATTCACACTCAGTCAGGGCAACAAGGACTGGCTTTGGAAACTATGTGTTACTTTGAGTAACTGGTCTCATAATGCAAAAGCTCGAAGAGCTGGCAAGCAATGCTAGGCTAGGCTGCTAGCGGCAACTTGCTCATGATGAGCAGCAACTAACGAAGCAAATGTCCAGTTGGAAGCAATAGAGCTGTATGTCCCCAAGTAGTACCATTAGCAAGAAAATATGATGGCAGGGTTCTAGCCAGGTCAAAATAGTAGTGGGGGGGGGGGGGGGCATGGGAAACAGTTACCCCGTAACCCATTTTTGCATTTTCCGAAATTGTCTTGCCATACAAAATGCAATGTACGGGGCGAACCCCCGACTTCACAACAGACAAGTGTGCCTTTATGAACCCTCCAGTAGTGACTATCCACTACACTTTTCGTTGAATGGCATCAAAAGTTTGAGCTACGCGCCATTTGTAGTTTGCACCTCCGCAAGAAATACTTATGTTCTTCTTCGTAGTTTGTAGCAGTTCCCGGTTAGTTTCGAATCGTATCAGTCCGCTTTACTTAATTTCAAGTCAGTAGAAATTTGTGATATCGGATCGTAAAGCTAGCTCCGTGTAGGAGAGTTTTGAGAGACAAAAACAAAAGAATTCATCCTGCGCATCGAACGCGAGGATGTCGTCTTCTTCCGCTCCGAAGTACATTAGCCTCTTCCTTCGATACACCGTTGACGATCCGTTTTAGGAGACTCAGTGCAACATGGAATCCAAACTCAAACGAATAAACTTTCATGTACTTGCAACAAAGAGTTGCGTCCAGAACAGTCCAGTCTACCGAGGAGAACAAGAACAGCAACTCGCGTCGCACTCCACTTCGTATTTTGTTGTCGCGGAATTCAAATCACGATTTTCTCGACGTTTTCCACAAACGCTGTGGTCATGTCTTAGCACGCGCTGGCTCAAATAAACAAGGAAGTAAAGTGTGCTGAAATGGGCTCGTCTGTAAGGGTAGAATAGTAGAATATTTTTTCGTACTGTTCATATTTGTTAGAATATTTGTTCGCGATTTTGCTATTCTTTGCAACATTGGTAAATAGTGATTTTTGGGTGAACAGGGCACATTTTAGTGCTCTTTTATTGCTTGTTTTTTGGATGAATTGGGCGCAGCATCCGGGGCGAAAAGTGGTACAAGCGTGGTGGTGCTGGTGGTACCGTGTGTGACGCCCCTGGACTCTATAAAGCCCAGTGCCTCAACTAGCAACACCATAACAGGTGTCTCCTGTCTACCAATATTCCGGTGATGGAGTGGTTATTCTGCGGGAAGCAATGACTTTCAGACACACCCGCGACCGTAAATTTGCGAGTCAAGCGGGCTTTTTCATAATACGAGTGCATGCAGTGAAGATGCACTCTCACTTGTTTTGCATTCCTGTTGCCTGTACTGTATGATTTCTTGCTAGTAATACAAAACAAACAACAAACTGTAAATGTCACCTGCAGTTACACAACATTTTTTTATGTGTGCTGTGCTTATCGTTGTGCCCAGGAGATACTGCTGTTCTGCGAAGTATCAGTGACCTCGAAGCAGCAGAGCAGGAGGCAGCCAAGTTGGGCGGTACGACCGTCATCCATTTCCTGCACGTGGCAATACTTGGTGCGGCACGCGTTGGAAAGACCAGCTTGCTGAAGGCGTTGCTTGAGAAGATGCACGATGAGAATGAACTCAGCACGCCCGGCATGCGCACGTCCTACGCAACTACAAACATCTCTGATGACGGTCGATTCATCGAATGCCCAGACATGCCAGATGCTCTGAGTCGACTCTACGTCATCACCATGATGTGCAAACCATCCACTTCGAATCATCCCCAAGACGAAGAGACAACACAAGATGGCAGAGAGAGAGCCCCAGCAGGAGAGGATCCTGTGGCTGGGACCCATGCAGGACCTATGGAGGACAGCAGTAGCAGCAGCAGCAGCACCAGCGACGGGCCAGCAATGCGCGAGGAAATCCACGAGACCATCACAGGATTTCTCAATGCAGACCGGGTAAAGTACATCTCTGACCGGGCCAACACGCCCGGCTATACCGTCATCACATTCCGCGACCTTGGAGGGCAGCAAGTCTACCAATCCGTGCAGCCCCTCTTCATGGCCAAAAACACAACCTTTATTGCCACATACAACTCTTCTCTGGACCTTCTAAAGACCCTTCCCAAGCTCGATGAATTTCAGGTCAGCCGGGAAGAATGTATCGAGCGGGCCACTCTACCGGCCAATGCGACTCGCCTAGACCAGCTGCTCGGCTGGCTCGACATGCTGCTGCTGAATGCGAAAGCTGACAGCAGCACAGACCAGAGTGCTGCAGATGATGTGTTTGTAGTGGGGTGTCAGAGTGACAGGTGGAACAAAACCGATTTGCCTGATCCTAGTAAACTACTTCAAGAGAACATAGAAGGTTCACGGTATAAGAACCTTGTCTGGAACGAAACATCGTACTTTAAAATCGACAACACCAGATCTACTGGAAGTGCAGCACAAGCAGATGAGCTGCAGCGATTGAGAGAGGCCATCATCGACCGCTGCCAGAAGAGCCAACGTAACATCCCTGTTCCATGGCTCCGATTCTGCATATCCATACACACGCTCAAGCAGGAGGTCACGTGGCCTTGGATTTCCTTCAAGGAGGCAAAGTTCATAGCGAAGCAAGTCAAGGCTGTTCCACATGACTGCAGTGACCGGCAAATACAGCTGCTGCTGAAGTACTGCCACGAAGCAGGCCACCTGGCGTACTTCCCAACGTTCAAGCTGAAAGACACGGTCATCCTGGAGCCCCAGTTCATCCTGGACTGTGTCAATGCCTTTGTCTACATGAAGCCTGACCGAGACATCACAGTGCACGAAGCGCGGCGGTGCTATCGTTCTGGGTTCATGACGGAGTCCCTGGCACGCAAAGCTCTCAACAAGATGTTCGAGGGTCAGTCTTACTGCGACCATGCTAAGGCGTGGCAAGCAGTCAGAGCAAGCAGTGATGGGTTCAAGCTCATTTTTGAAATCCTAGAATGGCTCTCAGTCCTGGTAATTGTGCAGGATGAGAGGTCTGCTGAGCACGAGTTTATTGTACCTGCAGTCGTCCGGGACATGGGCACGGACGAACAGCCGCCTTCTTCTTGTGCCTACGTGTCCTTGAAGCACGCACACCGCGATGAGTTGATGCACTTTCCCGTGTTCCTGTACTGGCAATGCGTGGTGGAGGTGCTGCTGAAGTCACATAAGCGCTCGGCTGCCACGCTGTCACGGTGCAGCGTTCTCCTTCGATGGAACAGAGATTGGCCGTGGCTGCACCTGCACTATGCACGCTACGGCTTACAAGTGTACGTCGAGTGCAGGGGCCGACACGGCGGCAGCGGAAAGTCTACGCTGGATGAAGTCCGGGCAATCGTGCTCACAGTGCTACGGAAGTGGGGCCTGCAGGTCGAAGTGATCAGCACATTGCCATGCCCCTGCGGAGAAACATCGGGCGAGGAGTGCTTACAGCATGGCTTATCTACGTGCTGCGCACCAAGCTGTGCGCACGCCTTGGACGCTTCCACCCTAGTGGCTGAAGACTACCCACTGTGTACACGTTCAAAGTGGGATACTAGTATACCGATGATCCGTGAGCAGGCCATGTTCTGGCTGGGCCTTGACCAGGTGAGAGACTTGACCTGATTGAATTCCCGTAGCTATGCAAAAGACGTTACGTTAGTAGCGCCTGCCGCTAGCTTTAGTTCATATGTTTTTGTGGGGGGAAGGCATGTACCATGAGACAAGTTCCACCAGGCCTTGTTGTAATTCTGTGTTATCTCTGTTTAGGAGGAGAGTTCTTCACACACAAAGTTGCACCATGTCTCTATATTCTTAAAACTTGCCACGTATTCCCGTCATGTGAATGAGGAGATAACCATTTTTAGCCTACTCTGACTTCGGCGATTATGGCTTGTGCGTGTGCGTGTTTGCATGCATGTGTTCTTTTGCTCGTGTGTATTTACATGTATTTGTGTGTGTGTGTGTGTGTGTGTGTGTGCGCGTGCGTGCGGGTGTGTGCGTGCCTGCGGGTGTGGGTAGGCGTTTGTGTGTGTGTGTGTGTGCGGGTGTGTGCGGGTGTGTGCGGGTGTGTACGGGTGTGTGTGCGTGTGGGCGTGGGCACGTGCTTGCGTGTACTTTGTCTCTTGCAATACCTGCAGGATGCATGTGGAAAGCTGTTTGACCCGAGAAGGACCTCTCTTCCTTCAGGTTAGTTGGATGCACAATTCAAACAGATCTGCTACTTCCAAATGATGGTTTGCATGATGTCTGCATTCGTGTGAACCCTTAGTGGCAAGGAAACCGCTACGCTGTTCTATTTTCCTTTTGAGTTAGCTATTCCCGTTCGGATGTTCAACACTGCATGAGCACAGGACCGTATCTGCTGTGGATAGAATGTAAAATTTGAGCGTCTTCTCACCGCAAGCTGGTGTTTGATCCCAGCCAACACTGCAGTTCTGACTCTGTTTTGGGCCCTGGACAACTGACATTACATTGTCATAGAATTACTATGGGGTCGCTGTCATATTTTGTCGCCCTGAAGCGAACATCGTTCGTGGCAGAGGAGGAGGGGGGGAGGTCGAAAATCATAACTTGCTCTACAATGCACTACGTGTACATGCACTTGATTTGTGGTGTCCAGCATTGCAAACTGTGTTCATTTTGGAGGAGTGAGGGGTCCGTCCGAGTACGAAATGAACCATGTTCGTTTCAGTGGCGACAATAAACTTCTGCAACAAACCGTGTGTGCGTGCCCACCTGTGTGTGTTCATCTATACGTTGCATCTGCATGTGTGTGTGTGTGTGTGTGTGTGTGTGTGTGTGTGCGTGTGTGTGTGTGTGTGTGTGTGTGTGTGTGTGTGTGTGCATGTGTGTGTGTGTGTGTGTGTGTGTGTGTGTGTGTGTGTGCGTGTGTGTGTGTGCGTGCGTGTGTGTGTGTGTGTGTGTGTGTGCATGTGCGTGTGCGTGTGCATGTCTCTTGGCCACTCCAATGGCATGCCGTCTGTGTCCTTGCAGCAGAAGCCTGTGCCAGTGTGGACAGTAGAAGCGGTGGTCACGGTGCTCCAGGAAGCGGTCATCACAGCGCTGGTGAAAGCGGTGTTCACGGCGCTGAATTCATGTCGCTTGGTGCCATTGGGTTAGTGAAGGCTTTCCTCGCAGGTTTATAAAGAGGTCAAAAACGTTGCATTGGAGCTGACCAATCAGCCGCTTTCATTAACGAAGTGTTCAGGGTAATGGAAACACTGACAACACGCTGCCTGCATATTTAGTGAGGGGGTCTTTTTGATCACAAAATGCTGCATTGCATTTCAAGGCTCTACTGTCCACCGAGGTGGGATTCTACTGTCCACGGGGGGGGGGGGGGGGGGGGATGCTCTACTGTCCACTGGGGTGGGGGGGGGGGGGGGTAGGCACTCTACTGTCCACGGGGGGGGGGGGGGCAGGCACTCTATAGTGTCCACTGGAGGTAGAGGCTCTACTGTCCACTGAGGGAGGCACGCACTCTACTATAGTGTCCCCTGATGGAGGCTCTTCTGTTACGGAACCTAGAACGTGGACCTGTTTCTAGTTTTTGTTTTGTTTTCGGCACCACTCTGCACTGCAGTGAAAAGACATTCGATCAGATTGCCGACCGGCATGCGGTTGTGAGCTCGATTGAACCGTTCATCGGTGGAGAGGAGAAAGGCGACGAGAGAGGTTGGTTGCTTTTGGACACCGTGATTCATGTGTATTTCAATGATGCCGGGTGGTGAATATATTTTCTCCAGCAAGGACACGGCAGAGTTTTAGACGTGTGTATGTAGCGAATTATGAGTAAACGTAGTTTGAAGTAGTTCTGGAGTTAACCTTATTCTCTGGGGGTGTAGGAGCTGTTCGATTGCGGGCGAA